TGATCTTCATTCACTAATAACAGCGTGGGAGCATCTCTCTTTTCTTCACCGTGCTGGAAACACCACTCTTGCAATTTCATTCTCATGACCAAGTGAAAACTCTTCTGCCGAAACCCTTCTCTAGCAGACATCCACACTTTATCATGTTTGTAAATGTTCTCTAACAATTCCCAATGAACCTGTTTAAACGATACTCCACCAAGCTTCCACACTTGATGGGAAACAGAAAGCTCAGACCTATCCTTCATATTACTCGCCTCTGAAGGACACACCTTGTCCTCAAGGTGGATCGACAATCTAGCTTGCATGACATAATGTGCATGAAGCTTCAAGTCACCAGTGCTACTTACTTTCAGGGGTACCAATTCTGTCATAATCTCCTTTAGGCTCTTTTTCTCAAAACAATGAGGGTCAAACCAGTTGGGCAACTTCTCCTTTACCTCTGCCTCCGAACTTTTATTATGAGGAACAAAGCATTCCAATAACCTCAACAACTCATCAATTACCCTCTCTTGAAAAACTCCTCCCGAATCAGAAGCTACAACTATAATGACATCAGAACTTCCCATATATAGAGCTCGTTTTCCATTGGTAGTAGCTCCAACTGAGAGATGAATGTCGTATCTCAAATTTTTTAAGATGCAGATTCTTGTGGGTGTTCATATGCAACCTTAACCTGCTGTATTTATAATCCAATGATGACTTGATCCATGCCTTATGTTGCTCCTCTAAGGCTTGATTAGCCAGCATCATCCTCCCGGAGAAAAACTTCACATTCACAATCCAGTTTCAAGTGTCCTTGGCCGGCTCACTGAACATCTCTGATTACTACTGTAAGTAAGTCTCAGGAAACCTTGAGGTTGTCCTTAACATCTCAACATGACTTTGATATTTTTTTTGCCAATGCCTCTGACCTAGTTTAGCCATTTCTCATTCCTTATTACTATTATCATGAACATAAAAATCCTGTACCTCTAAGCTTTGATCAATGATTAGCCTAAACTGTATCTTATACCCATGTGAATTGAGTTACAACCAATTATGTTCAGCATACAAAGATTCTAATCCACTCGGTTTCCAGACAAGGTTATACCTAGATGAATTTGATAGTCGTCGAACCATGAATATCCCATCATCTAGAGACAGGACAAAACCGATTTCTGTATCTAACCTCGATCTTCTTTCTTTAAACTGAGCCATGAAATGTGAAAATGGACTGAAGGGTGATCTCTCCATGTAATCACTAAAAAATGAGCGGCGAATCATACTGTATATTTGCATCGGATCACTTTGTCGTGTCCCCTTAGTCTGATAAACTGATTCATCTTCCCTTGACTTCTTTTTATGAGCCCTATGATACTTTCGTTTGATAGAGATCTTCGTGGTATTTTTCACTATCAAAAAAGTATTCTTCATCCTCAGAGTAGTATTAGAAGACATGAAATCCGCAGGAACCTTCAGAGAGATATTGCCCACCATATGCTCGACCAAATTCTTCTGCGGTATGGGCTTTTCTTCTGTCTCCAACACAACAGGAACCTGCAAAACTCCTTTTATGCTCTGATCAATCTTAGGGATATGAGATTCATGAGAAGCTTCGATCACCACGTACTCGACGTTTTTCGCACAAGATGGATCGTTTTTGTTGATTGCTTTAGGTTCATCGGATGGCTTCACCATTGGCAACGTTGGCTGCATCTGAATATCCGATCCGGTTTCTTGAGATGGCTCACCCATCAGGTTTTCGATGAGTTTACCTAGAGATGTGTCTAGGTCTTTCATCGGTTTAGGCTCCAAAAATATTGTCTCAACTTGCTGGTACCCAGGCTTCTTTTTTAGTTGTTCTTCAGCCAGCTGTTGGGGCTGATATTCTCGATGTAGCCTTCTCCAAATTGTTGCTTGAGAAGATTGATGAACTCTTTCCTGATGTCGTCGTTTTGTCTTGCCGCATACTCCATCATCGCCTGCCTTAGGTTCTCCATAGATTCTTCCCAATCTGTCTCGAATTCTAAAAAACCCATCTTAATCTCTCAACGAAAGCACCAATTGATATGATCCAAAAGGGGGTCTATCAAGTAGAATATGAAGAATATAGAAATAAGAAGAAAAAGGACTGAAAAGCAGAAGAGATAAGGAAGAGAATCAGAAGAAATTAGAGAAGAGAAGAGGACCAAGATGATAGAGGGAGAGAGATAGAGAAATATGTTTGTTGATTGATCGTATTCGATAGTCCGTTTACAAAGACAAGCCAAAACTAAATTAGGGATGTCGATTTGGGCCAAAGCCCGAAGCCCGACCATGAAAAATGGGTTTGGGCTTTGATATAAAAATCCAAAAAAATGGGACTTTTGGGCTAAACTCATTCGGCCATAAGCCCGATCGGACTCAGACTTATCTGAAAAACTCTGTGCTTTATATTATAACTAGGTAATAACCCGCACCCTGTACGGGGTGAAATAATAATTATTTATTTAATATAGTATAATTTTAAAATTATATAACAAAATACAATTAATTTTATATGAGTTGTTTATAACATTATGCTGTAATATTGACAAAATAATTTTTTTTGTTGATTTCATGAATTTTTGGGTAATTTAAATCTAATGTAAATTAGTTTAAAAATTAAATATATATGCGCAATCTGGATAGAAATACGAAGTCCCTCTTTATACTTTCTATAACCCATGATTAATAACATGATCTTAAAATTCCAAAAAAAAAATAGAGAAAGTATATTTTGATTAAATTATTAAGTATCTAATGTGTTATGATAATAATAAATTTTTTTTACTACTTCATGTGTTTCATAATATTAGTTTTTTAAAAAATTTGTTTTGTTTCACAATATAGTTGTTTTCATATTTTTTACTACTTCCTATGAATACTATGTGATCGATTATATTTTTCAGTTTTTCCTAATTAGTTGAATTATATTTAATTTATATACTAAATGATTACTTTTTTAAAAAAGAAAAATTGCTTTTTAATATTTGTACTTTGATGCAAAACAACTTATATTTTGAAATAGAGAGTAGTAAAATTATAAAAATAAAATTTGATTATAAGATTTTATATTCGATTTTAATATTTCTTATACGAATGTAAATGCATATTTAGATTAACTCGCAAAAACTATAGTCATAAGAATATTAACTTTTAAGAAAAGAAAATTACTGTGAAATTTATATAAATACTAAATATACATAAAAATTATATAAAAATAGTTAAAATATTTTTTATTATTTTTAATAAATTATCTAAAATTGTATATAACTGAGTCAATACTTATACATTCTTAACTTTTTGATTCAATAAAAATATTTTCAATATCAAAAATTTTAATAAAATTATTATATAATATCCTTACAAAAATATTTTAATTTTTTTACCAAGTTATTTTGTTGTATAAATTAAAAGTATTAATATCTTTAAATTAAGCTTTCTGTTTTTTTGTATCATTTATGTATTTTTATATTGATTTATGAATCATCTATCTACACATCTTTATTTTCAATTTTAGTCTTTTAAAACATACTTTTGTTTATTAATCATTTTAGTAATTTATAGGGTTTGAATGGTATGCAACTTTTTCACGTTTTCATGTTTTGGAAACTTGATTCTGTTATTTTTTACCATTCATGTTATTCATCATGTTTTCACGTTTTCACGTTTTTATGTTTTTGAAACGTGATTCCGCTAGCGTGTTAAAAATATAACTAAAAAAACAAAACGTGATTAATCTACTAAAATTAGCTTTTCGGCGTTTCACAATTATTCAGCTAAAATATTATTCAGTTCAGTTCATTCCGCTAGTAATTTTTCAGTTATTCCGCTATTCTGTTATTCATCTGACATACCAGTCAGACCCTATATTTATTTAATGAAATTCGAATTATAACACAGAAAATATATATTTTACTATATGAATGATGTGATAATTTATTTTTCTATAAAAATAAGAGATAAAATATACTATTGAAAGAGATAATTAATATTATATATTTTTGGTAAGAAATAGAACAAGAGAATATCTTGATGAATCATCATCAATATAATTGATATAAACTAATGTATAACCAAATTAATGTGAGTGACATAACATGTAATTAATATAGTAACATAAGTCTATTTTTATAACTTTGCTGAAAATGATTCTGGTGATGACACATTAGCAAAATGACACTACTGTAATATTTTATAAAATTAAAGTTATTTTTTAAAAATGCTTTTCTTTTAATATATAGGGGATTTATTTAGAAAATTTTATTAAAAATTTATCTTTACAATTTAAAAAAAAAATAGAGTTATTGATTTTTTTTATAATACTTATAATTAATCTAAAACCTTAATTTTTAGTTGTATGTTTTCATATAAACATTAATGCTCAAACTAAACTAGTTTCAAAAAGCATTTCTACCTTCAACCTAAAGATTCTCATCTTTATTCTATCGTTTCTACTATTTATATTACTTATTTATATTTGATATTATAATTTATATGAATTTACTAAATTAGAATTTTTATTTTAGATTTGATAAAACTATATCTATAATTATTAAAATTTGGATTTAATTCTAATAATTACCTTTTCAAGTTTATTCATATTTAAATGTTTTTTTTTGCAAAGTTCAAAAGAGTCCAATAACCTTGTTAGAACCGAATTAAACTTTAAAATATAGATCTGATATATTATCAGATCAGATCAGACAAATTTAAATATATGTGGCTTTTACGAATTTTGAGCCAGGCCAGCCCTTTTTAACATACCTAAGCTAAATAATAGACTTAAATAATAATTTATGAAGAAACCAACAGGCCCAGTAACCAATCTTAGTTCGTATCACGTTATCAGACCATCTGCATTGGTGAGAGACTCGCATAAGTCTCTCATTAATTTAATAATAATATTTTTAATATAATTTAATTGTATTAATTAATTTTAAATTTAAAATAAAATTTAAGCCAATGACGTTAAGAGAACACATGAAGTGAGTATTATTTGAGAGACTCTCTACCTTCTCTCCTCTTTTCAACTGTTTTTTTTAGAGAGTTGGGGAGAGACAATGCAGGTGCTCTCAGATTCTGCTGATCATTTGAATTTTCAAGTAAGAGACTGCGACTCAAATTTCTGCTGCTCCGGCAAAGATGGCTGAAAGTAACCGAATCAAGTTACTGAAGCGTGGAAATTGCTGCATTTCTCACGAATTCGTAGATGCAGCCTCCATAAACCCTGATAAAATCGCGGCGGTTCATGCTTCGGGCTGGGCGGCAAGGATTAAGCCGGAATCGGAATCGGAATCAGTTAAACCCTGTGGTTCTCCGTCGTGCACACCGCCTGTTTACGACGGAGACATATGTTTCACGTTCGGCGAGGTATCGTCATCTATTGATTTCCTCAGCTCTCGTCTCCGTCGCATCCTCGATGATCCTCGTCACGATGATCCTTACCTCACCAGACCACGATTTCAAGGTTACCCTTTTTGGCTCTTTTGAGGTTTATGTGAGTATAATTGCAGCAATATCTCCTTACCCACCTCATAAAGTTTATATATTTGACATTGCAGAGAAATTTGACTACGACGCTGACGCAGATGTATATATGCCCAAGGTATTGGCTTTATATATGCCACCTTCAGTTGAATACATAATCAGTGTTCTTTCTGCAATGAGATGTGGAGAAGCCTTTTTGCCTTTAGATACTTCATGGCCAAGAGAAAGGGTATTGTCTATTATTTCCTCTTCGAATGTTGCTCTCGTTATTGCTTGTGGCTCATCTTTCGACGAATTCGGGTGTAAGCCGCTAGAGAGATCGCACTGGCTTGCGGAAAGCGTCGTCTGCCCTATGTTATTCTTTTCGATGAGTGAAAGATTGAGTGTGGAAACTAGTAGCTTAAGCTTTGTTTGGCCTTGTAAGAAAGAAAATGAAAGGAAAATTTGTTATCTGATGTACACTTCAGGATCTTCTGGGAAGCCGAAAGGAGTATGTGGCACTGAGCAAGGTTAGGATGGTTTTCTTTTCATGATACAACTGTTTGAAACTGTTTCTGCTACTCTTGTAAATGCAAATACATTTTGAGGTATGTGATGATCTTGAAATTGGAAAGTCTTGCTAGTGTGTTCTCTTTCAGAAAAGGGATTTGCTGATAGTATTTGGCATTTATCAATAGATCACATGTTTGACCTTAAAATAGGTGGCAAAAATATATATGTAAATGTATCTCTTTTTCCTCGGTAAATACAGCATGTACTGTTAGATTGTTGATTCTTCTTTGTAAATATGAGTCATGAAAGCTATAACTCTCTGGAATTGAATGAAAACTTTAGGGCTTAACACCAGTAAAAAAACTAATGGAACGTAACTGTTTTTTTATCGCTAATTTATGAAATTCATCAATACTTTTGGTGTGTGCTATTCTTTTTCATATAAAGTGATAACAGACGAACTTTCTGTCTATTTCTCTCTCAAGGACTTTTAAATCGCTTCCTGTGGATGCAAGAGCACTATCCTATTGTTGGAAAGCAGCAATTGGCTTTCAAGACTTCAGTTGGATTTATTGATCATCTGCAGGAATTTCTTGGTGCTATACTGAATTCCACCCCATTAGTCATCCCTCCATTTACTCTCCTAAAAGAGAATATGATGTGCATCCTTGATTTTCTGGAGGTAAGGGTTATGGTTTTTATAGTTTGGAAAGAAAAAAATAACCAGCTTCTGTAGATGTAATGCTGTTGCGGTCCTTGGATTTGTTTTCCTAATCGAAGTATTTGTTGCCAATTCTTTTTAGATGTTTTTGAGTCGTTTCTCGTATTCTGTTCGTAATTGCTTTCATATAGCCATTTTCAAATTGGGAAATTGGTTAAAGCCTTTTCATTCTTCACTAGGTCGCATATATTTGGGGATCAAATACGTAACTTAGAACAATAAACAATGCAGAAAGTGCTACTGTATCAAATCTTATTTTGTTATGATCAACCCATTGGATGCCACGTTACATAATGATAGTTTTTTAGTTTCTTTTTTTGAACTTGAATCTACTTACGGTTTATCTTCAAGAACCGCATAGATTTCTTAGTTGGAGCATGAATGAAGTAAATCATTAAGTCACGACGAAGAGCAGATATAGCCTCTTTTGTTGGTTGCTTAAGTTAAGGCTCCTATCATTATTAGAAAACTGATTTGTCTTTAATTGTATTACTTTTACTTTCCATTTGAGTAATGGTCGTATATTTTATCCATCTTGATAGGCATATTCTATCAGTAGGCTCCTAGCTGTCCCATCGATGATCAGAGCTATTCTTCCTACTTTACAGCATCGTGGTTACAATGAGCTCCAAAATTGCCTGAAGCTGGTAATTTTAAGTGGCGAACCCTTTCCCGTGAGCCTGTGGGATTCACTTCACAACCTACTTCCTGAAACACGTTTTCTGAATCTATATGGGAGTACAGAGGTGAGAAAAATATGCTTATTATGATTTAATCTCAAATTCTTAAGCTGGTGTATTTCAAAAGTTTGTAGCAGTGCAGCTAGTTGGTACGGGCATGTATTTATCGTTTAAATTTTTATAACTACGTACTGCTCTTGATTTGAATGATGTTGATAACTTGAAGATTTCTTAGTTGTGCTTGTTTGATACTTAAGCCGAGTCTAACTTGTTGTAGCTGGTCAGAGTTGTGATTATATCCTTTCTGCATTCTCTTAACTTATGCAGCAGTTCGTTAAAATTGAATGTGTGTCAATCAGCCTTTTCTTCTGTTTAGGTATCAGGGGACTGCACTTATTTTGACTGCAGTGGGTTGCCAAAACTCTTGAAGACTGAGAAGATTAGTACTGTTCCTATTGGCAAGCCAATTTCCAATTGCAAAGTTGTACTTTTTGGTGACGAAGATAAACCTTATGAGGGAGAAATATGTGTTGGTGGTATCTGTCTTTCGCAAGGATACCTGCATTCCTCCATAGAGTCCCAAGGCTACGTGAAGCTACATGATAAGTCGCTCTGTAATCATCTGACCAATGATTGTGGATGTCAGCTTCATTATAGAACTGGTGATTACGGCAGAAAGCTTTCTAGCGGTGATTTAATTTTTATCGGGAGAAGGGATCGAACTATTAAACTCAATGGACAGCGCGTGGCCCTTGAAGAGATTGAAACAACTCTGGAACTAAATCCAGATGTTTCTAAAGCTGTTGTTCTGCTTAACAGAGGCCAGACGGAGCTTGCTTCACTTGAGGCCTTTTTAGTACTGAACAAAGAAACCAAGTCCGATGAAGGTATCATATATTCTGTCAGAAACTGGATTAGCGAAAAGATTTATCCGGTGATGATTCCGAACCATTTTGTTTTGGTGGAGTCTTTGCCAAGTACTTCAAATGGGAAAGTTGATTATGAAGCACTAGCAAGGTTGAAAGGTCCTACAACACATGCTCAAGCTATGATGCATAGCAATCGAACTAGTAGTTTATTGGAAACTATCAAAAAGGTCAGACAGTTTTCATGCTATGTTTTATTTTCTTCTTATGAGTAAGCCCTTTTGATATCTGATAGCTCTCCCTTAAATTTCTTTGGGTGACCTTTGGAGGGTTGCCATTCGGGGTGGGAAATATAGTTAACAGGAAGAGACTAGAGTTGTGCAAAGGAATTTGATAATTAAGTTGACGATTTAGGGGCGTTAAGGGTGTTTTCCTGTGAGATTTTATATCATAATATTGAGCCTTGAGTCAAGGAACAGGAAGTAGAGAACATGAGGTGCAAGGAAAATAAAAGCAAATGCAATATTTGTTGGGATACTGATTATAAAATTCTTCGGGAACATATGAACTTAGAATCTTAAAGTTTGTTTGAGCGAACTTTCTTTATTTATTTAAACAAATGCAATATTTATGCTTTCTAAATGATGTAGAGAACTTTCTTTATTTATTTAAATTTTTATCTGCATAATCTAATTGACCAGACAAGTGGAGTTGTATAATTTCTTGAACTTTTGATGTAGGCCATTTGTGATGCATTACTGGTCAAAGAAGTTTCAGACGATGATGATTTCTTTGCGATTGGTGGAGACTCTTTAGCCGCAGCGCATGTTTCTCATAGTCTTGGTATTGATATGAGATTGGTTTACCAATTTCGAAGTCCATCTAAGCTTTTGATCTGTCTGTCAGAGAAGGAAGGGAGGTTAAGAGAAGATATGCAGCACAGCACAACTCTGAAGCTAGACCACAAGACAGCGAGTCAGAATGGTAATGAGTTTGTTAGTAGAACTGTTCCCCTTCATTCTGGTGTTACATCAGACCCACTTTCAAGAATGCAGTGCGAGAAGAACATCTCTGCAAAGCGATTGAAAATTGATTCAGAACAGTTTTCTTCCAGAATAATGAAAGATATAAAATCATGGGGTTCAGGATTTTCTCAAATACAATGTGCATTCAGTCGGTGCAACAAGCTACATTATCCAAACTCATGTAGTAATGAAGAGGGAAATCAAGAAATCTGGTCGGTGGAGTTTCCAAGGAACCAGATGGACTCTATGCGAGAGTTATGGAAAGTTCATATGGAGTCTTGTGTAGATGCCTCGCCCCTAGTTGTGTTGAAGCAGTCAAAAACTTATCTATTTATTGGGTCTCACTCACGTAAATTTTTCTGCATCGACGCGAAAAGGTATGCATCTTTGTTAATCAATCTTCCGTATCTAGCATATGAAGTTTTTCTTAAACTACTGATTATTAGATTTGGATCTAAAATATAAAATGAGAGGATTGAATTTTTTTTAGGAAGTAGGCTGGACTCCTAACAAATGATACACTTTACTGTGCTAAATAGTGGTTCAATTTGTTGGGAGACCGTTCTAGAAGGAAGGGTCGAAGGTTCAGCCATGGTAGTTGGTGACTTTTCTCAGGTTAGTCTTCTCATCAATTTGTATAGCTCACTGTATCATTTCTAATTTATTTGAACAGTTTTCGGGACATCTCCAATTGTAGGTCGTTATTGGATGCTACAAAGGAAAATTTTATTTCTTGGATTTCTTTACCGGAAGCTTATGTTGGACATTCCAAGCATGTGGTGAGGTATTACCAGAAGGAAAGTTGATTGATCAAGAATTGTACTCTGTTTGTTTACATTATCGCAGCTTTAGTTTCTGTGTCATATATTGTGCTCTGTTTGTTAAGACAATTTGTTTTCTTTTTCCGATGCAGATAAAGTGCCAACCTGTTGTGGACACATCTTCACAACTGATATGGTAACACTGTGATGACTTTTTCTGTTATCATATCCACCTAGTCAATTACTTAGTTGAAGGACAGTAGTTCTGTGATCATAGTCAAATTATTCATGCCACAATTAGATTAACTGATTATAGCCCGATGTGATTAGATCCATGTACATTTTTTTCCGTAGAGAATTCATTAGGTTCTTATTGTAATGACGACCAATATGAGCTAGGTTTGTGAAGGATTTTTACCTTAGTTAGAATATATAGCAACTGACAAAGGATTTTGAAGAGAATAATTAGGAGCAGCGACTGAAGTAAAAAAATGTTACTGTAATTTGCTCCCTGTCCTTTTACTTAGAAGTTCTTTCATTCTGTAGACTATACTTTGCCCAAAGATCTTGTTAAGTCACCAACCATCAAGCTTAGTTTTGGTAGTTTTGCACCATTCATGCAGGTGCGGATCACATGACCACACTCTTTATGCCCTTGACTATAGGAGCCAAAGCTGTGTTTATAAACTGCAGTGTGGTGGAAGCATATTTGCTTCACCTATAATTGACGAGGTGCGGCTTTAACCACTCTATCCACTTATGCATAGTTGCTTGTCTAAATCTGAATGCACTTCATCTGTGATCTAATGTTTTATTTATTACTGGATTTTTATTGATATCACCGGATTCATCTTTGATGCTTCACCCAGGGTCATAGATCGCTTTACGTGGCTTCTACGAGTGGTCGTGTCATAGCTGTATCAATAAAGGTATGGGCGTTTTGATCCATAATCTTAAAGCCCTATGTGTTGGTGCTTGTGTATCTTTTGTATTCCATTTAAATACGAAGATTTGTTGGACTTGTGAATTTATTTCCCTCATTGTTTTTGAATTCAAGTTGTCTGGTATGATATGAATAGGGCAGATCAGATCCAGAAAGTAATTTTTTTGTAATGCTCTACGTAATTTAAGTAGAATGGTCCTTGGGAGTAATGGTTCTTTTTTTTAAAGATTTGGCCCAAAATTGTGTCCTGCATGGTCTGCCTTACTCTACGAAGATGTTTATTTCAGCTGATCTGCATTACGCTTAACATGGCTCCAGAGTGGGATTGTTTTGTATGGATTAGTATTGGAGTTGGATCCTTGTTTATTCCGGTTAATTTTGCAAGTGCAGGATTCACCATTCCACACCCTGTGGGCACTTGAACTAGATGCACCAATTTTTGGTTCCTTATCCATTAGCCCGACAAGCCAAAGCGGTATTTTTTTCCTTTATTTTTTTTCGATTATATTTCTGTTTCCTTGATTTCAGCATCATTAGCAATATCTGTTTTCTGTAACAGTTATTTGCTGCTTAGTTGATGGCCAAGTTGTGGCAATGAGTCCGTCTGGAACTGTTATTTGGAGGGTATGTGTATGATATAATCTCAGTTCATTTGAATCATATCGTAGTCCACATAGTGTCCCTTGATTCTTTCGCTATTTATATAGTTAGGGAATGATGATAGTTATGTAGTCAAAAGGGCTTTCAACATCTTTTGTTTCGTTTGATTATCTCACAGTGCTCAAACCACTCAGTTATTACATCTATGCAGTATAGAACTGGTGGGCCAATATTTGCTGGGGCTTGCATGTCGCATGTGCTTCCTTCTCAGGTATTCTTTGTGGTCCTGTCTGAAAAATTTATGTGCATCATTTTCTTCGAGTACATCTCCCATCCAACCTTTTTGTGTAAAGGTTTCTGGTAAGGCTGATTAAACGTCTAATTTACTATAGGTGCTCGTGTGCTGTAGAAATGGAAGTGTTTATTCACTAGAGCCGGTACTTTCTTATATCCCTTGGACATATGTAGTGTATAGTATTTATTGCTGTCTACAGTTATTTATTTTGTGAGATGTGCTTAGTAGTTAGTACTGAAACCTTCTGTGCATTGCAAGCAAGTACAAGTTTGTCAAATATTCTGAAATATTACATCTTCCCATGCATCTTCAAAGGAGACCTTTCTGAAAAAGAATCAGTTTTACAAGAGTCTTCTGTTTTCATTGCCTCATCTATTTTCCGAGTTTATATTAGAAGGGATATACACTCTCTTGTAATTAACAGCCTGTGGATGCACTGAAGTAATTCTTGAATCTGTAGCTAAATCAGTGGAAGTTAGTTTTAGTTTTGTACTAAATATTTTTTATTTCAGTTGTTATGGTACTCGTCTCAAAACTTCAGTAGTATTGAGTCATGACTGTTTTGTGAAATTTGCTTCAGGAATCTGGGTGTCTTCTGTGGGAATACAATATCGGGGACCCGATCACAGCATCTGCATACATCGATGAGAATCTGCATTTTGAATCGTATCGACTTCTTGCATCAGACAGGTATGAACTACAAGAAGAAGCACATATGAATGTATCTGATTATAATGGAGGTATGATGATGCCTTCCTTCTTTGTGTTTCCATGTATTTTTCAGGCTGGTGTCTGTATGCTCGAGCTCGGGAAGAGTCCATGTCCTGCGTGTGAGAGCCAATCTCAGCAGAGATTCACAAGAACCAAAAGTAGTAGAAATCACGAGGTTGGAATTGCAGGCAGACATATTCTCTTCACCGGTGATGATCGGTGGCCGGATTTTTGTTGGCTGCCGTGATGACTATGTACATTGCCTCTCTCTTGAGACTTGCAGGTAGCAGAAGTTAGACTCTACATACCTATGGATTATGGAAGAACCGATTCAAAGGAAATTTAGAAATTTAAAAGTCATGGAAACTTTGTATACAAAGTACGCTTTCTTGTAGTTTGTAGTTAACAAGTTGGTTAAAGATATCAAATTCTAAAGATTTTGATTAGAATAGTACTTGTAAATGTATGCTAGACCGGAAAAAAAATCTAGAAAGGCGGATCTTGTGGTGACTAATGGAGAAGCTAAATGACTTTCTGCTTCTGTAAAACTGTTGTAACCCAGACGATAACTGAACTTGTGGAAGTGCAGCAAGAAAATCAAAATATTTTAGTTGATCTAATCCTTGTTCCTCTTCCTACCTCAACCAAGTGACTAGACACTGTAGTGTAAAAATGGCAAGCAGAGTTCTCTCAAATTCTTGAATATAACCAACTCTGCGTTGAGACCACCATCTCGTTTCTTTGTCTTGGCAGACCGGCTTATAGGGGAGGACAATCGGTGCCATGCCCCAAGGCCCACGAAAATAGGGGCCCATTTTAATTAATTTTTTATAGCAAAAACATAGTAAATCACATATAAAACAATTTATAAATAATAATGGAAAAAATTAGTTTGGGCCAAAAATTTGGCAACGACATTTACTATTTTTCTTTTTTGTAGAACTTTTCAGTTGTCTAAACAAACAGATTCTTTTTTTATCTTTTCTCTCTTTACCACTAACAATTTTACTCTTTTACATCAAAAACTAATTTTTATTTCACAAATTGTTATTGTTTTTCAACTTTTCAAAGCTTCAAGTCCTATAATCTTTATTCTTTTTAGATTTTGATTTTAGATAATTGATGTGATTTTATTTTTGTTTTATTACTTACTAAGAGTTTGGTCCGCACGCATATGCAAGTATAAACAGTTTTAAAATTTTAATTACATAAATATACAAATCGTTATAAATATTTAATCGCCCTACCTAATTTTTTAGAGAAATTCCTTCAGATGCACTTAATCTAAGTTTTTGTTCCTAATATACACTATCACTATAAAATTCCTTCCATAACATTTTTCACTAAAGACTTGACCATATTAACCTTAGTTAGACAAAACATTAGTTAATAAAAGGAGAAAAAATTAGTGTACAAACAAATATATCAATGGTCAAGACTGATTTGAAATTCGAATCATTTGTTTTCTTTAGGATCGCTCTTATGTTTGATTGTGATTTGTGATTGTTAATCTTTTAGATCTTTGGGGTTTTCTTGATGGGAAAGTGTTTTCGAGATTTAAAGCTCAAAATCATATAATGGAAGATAGATCTGATATAATTGAGTAAACAGATAAAAAAACCCAAGCTAAAACAACAACAATGGTGAAAAAAAGGAAACCGGCGGAAATTAGGGTTATGGATGTCACAGAGGTGAGGAATGAGATGAGAGTAAATTTAAGAAGATATTATAAACTTTTAGGAAGACTTTCCTAAAATGTATAAATTAAGGAAGCCATTACATGTATTTAGGAATGTCTTCGTAAATCGTATAATTGATTTTTTTTTTTAATTTAGATAATTCAAATTCAGAAAGCCCTTCCAAGATAACTTACCACAATTCATGAAATATTTCCACAATTCAGGAAGCCCTTCCACAATTCAGGAAATTTTTAAAATTTTAGGAAACCTTACCCAAATCATATGAAAAGATGTTAAATTCTATCATTTGGAAGACTTTCCTAGAAAATCCCGAAACATTAACAGAAAAAAATATATTTAGGAAGACCTTTCTAAAGGGAAAAATCAGAAAACTCAAATGAAAAATGTTAGATGTGGAAAAAAATTTAGCTTCTCTGTTATATTTGTCCTGAAAACTTGTTTTTAGTGTAATTATGGAAATTGCCCAATTTTTTATTACGTTAAAGAGCCAAATGGGTCAGATCCGTGGATAGCTGGTTGAGCGGGTTACCTGCTGCGGATTTGCGGGTCAGGCGTATATACCTGCAAATTTTATCATCTTCTTCGTCTTCAATTAATCTTTCTCAATTTATCTAGTTATTTAGCCTCTAAATTCTCGAAGATTTCTTTGTATAAAACAAATATTTGAACTAAAATAAATTAAACACAGCAAATTATTTGAACTTAAATATATTCCAACTTCTCTTTGTATTTGTTTAGCTTCTGTTTTGTGTGGACAACAAAAATGGGTTCTTTAGTTAAACATTATTAGATTAATGTTACTTTAAATTATATAGTCGGTGCATGTGATGAAGATATAATTTTTATACAATTTAACGTATACAAATTTGTGCATGTAATAAAAAAATATAACATATATTTTGTGCATGTGATAAAAAACGACGGGTATCATTTATATTAATAATTAAATATTTTATATATTTTAGTTTTCATAAAATAATTATTTGAACTAAAATAAATTGAACACATAAATTTTTTTTGTCATGTCATAATCCACATGTGTTAGCAAATGCCATTTCACAATTACATCATCATTACACATCATCATTTCCATATCATATTTAATTAGGTTAGATTGATGTTTTTAACCAATGAAATTAAAACAAATCAGCATATTTCATTAAACTACATTGTCAATTAATAGGTAGAAGATTCTAAAAATCTCCATCAAAAAACTGATTTCACAATTTTACTGCCAAAAACATGAATAAATAACTTTCACACCCAAATAATTACATCAAATATATAACCCAAAAACATTTTCTCAAAATTTCGATTTGGTAAGATTCTTGCGAAAAAGTGAATCCATAAAAAAAAATTCGCCTAAAACTTTACATTAATAATGTGATTCCAAAAACTACCAGTCAAAATTTTGATTTCAGGAATTTTCCGCCAAATAAGTGAAACCGTAAATTTTTTGCCAAAAAACTTACTTAAAAATATAATTTCGAAAAACTTCAGTGAAACCTGATTTTAGAAATTTTCTGCCAAAAACATGATATTGTAATTTTCCCACCAATAAAATTATTTTAGAGTATTTTAATTTGATTTTGTTACTTTTTACCAAATATTGTGAATCCAAAAATTTTATGCCAAAAATGTGATATCTAAAAAATTTCCAGCTAAATAGGTTGCTACAAATTTTTCGCTAAATATTTGAAATTCCTAAATTCTTTGACAAACTTTTTGTTTCGAAATGTGATTTTAAATCTATGTCACAAAAATATAATTTTCCCAAATTTTTGTCAAAAATTTGAGTACTTAAATTTTGTATTAAATTTTTAACATCAAATTTTATTTATAGATTAAATAATGCCATGTCACAAGCCATGTGTACTAAAAACTGACATGTCACAATTACATCATCATTTCCATGTCACATTAAAATTGCTTAAACTAAAGATATTAACCAATCAAATTAAAACAAATCAGTAATTTTCATTAAACTACATTCTCAATTAATAGGTAGAGGATTTTTTTGTTCAGCAACTAAATTTTATTAATCTTATTCTGATTTACATATCTTTCTTCATAAACATTCAGATTTCTTTTTTTGAACGAAACTGATAGATGAATTTTTATTCAGTGTTTATTTTACATAAATATATATTATATAAAGTTGTGAATTGTATAGTGTCAATTTTTATATGTTAGGGGTGCCTTTTTTTTCAATAGGGGTCTGTTTTTTGAATTTTGCCCTAGGGTTAATAAAATGTTTGAGCCGGCCCAGGGCAGACATTAGAGAAGATAGTGAGGTAGATGAGAACTCATAAGAACCAATTCATTAACAGAAAAGATTTAGGACAAGCAAGTGCCTCTTCCTCCACAAAACAAAACAAAAGAAGTTGCTTGGATTCTTGTTGCGGATTCTAAGGAAACATTTTTCCCTTAAAGAACTCTCACGTACTCTTGTTAACTATTACGACCTTTTAAGGATTTCATTGTGGGTCTTCAGCAAAATAGTTTGTTTCTGTATGAAGACTTAAGAGTAGTTGGCGTATCTTACATGCCTAAAGTGCTCTAGTAGTTGTGACTTTGCGCATAAATAAGACTTATGAGAGTTGATAAAACGTGTCAACCATGTCGTGAAGAAGATATGGAGAGTGTTAACGATGTTCCAAATGCAAAATAGCAAAGATAATTGTGGAAGTGTTGGCAGCAGCAAATTAATATCCATCAGGTTTTTGCGATGGTTATATTATTATAGAGCTCGAACTTCTCTCGATTTATATGCATTTATTGGTTTAATAATTTTTTTTTTTTTTATAAACAAACGTGATATGATACATTCCTGTTATTGTGTGCTTTATCTGATGATGATATTGAAACATAATAGCAGATAGTTTGGGTTAAAAAACTTAGATGAGTGAACACAAAATGTCATAAAAAACTAAGATGAGTGAACACAAAAAGTCATTGTGTCTCAACAAAGTGTATCTTGGTCAAAGTAAAATATAATAAACCTCATTATGATATGAATAAGTTTGACCAGAAAAAAAAAGGAAAAGTATATACGACAGACAATGAGGAAGTTACGTTATTGCCCTTAATATATACTAAAATAGCTTCACAATCTCTCTTTCAATGGAGTTCCTAAAACCCTAGCCAAGCCAAGGAGATTCCCTAAAAACACAAAATTGAATTGATCTCTCTCGAGCCGAGAGAATGAGCGACGGTAACATGGACGTCGACGAATCAGAGCTTTCTTGGAAAGCAAAGTCCCTCGAGTCACTACTCGACGGTTCTTTCTCGTCGACTCTCTCGAGACTCTCATCGTCTTCTCGTGTGATTCCAACCAGTAAAGATTTCCACTTTTACTACAACTTCGAAGAGTTCAAACGACCCATCGACGAGATAGCTGGAACCTCTCAGTCAATCCTCGGGACGATCGGTGACTCACAGCAAATTTTGGGGAAATCGATGATCTTTCCTGGGGATATCGAAGAAGACGATGCCGATGATTGGCTCTGCAACGTGAACGACGAATTTCTCGAGAGGTTTGATGTTTCGGTTGATGAGTTTCAGAGTTTACGAAAGAAAGAGGGGGAAATCGGTAGGACATTGGCTGCTCCTGCGCCTGATTTTGAGGAGAATGGGTTTCAAATGGTTTATGGGAGGAAGAAGAAACCGGTGAGTAATGTAGTTCCTGGCTCTGTTAGGAACAGTGGTTCATTTGTTGATGTTAAGGTTGCTGAGAGAGATAACAAGAACTCATCTGGTAAGGCCAAAGTTCCTTTCCATGTACCGACCATAAAGAAGCCACAAGAAGAGTTTAACATATTGGTAAACAACGCTAATCAGCCGTTTGAGCATGTTTGGCTGGAGAGGAGCGAGGATGGTCAGACGTGTCTGCATCCTTTGGTTAGTCTTTTTGCATTTTCCTGAATAGTGTGATTTGCTTGTTTGTTAATCGTTTCAAGGTATTGAAAGAAGTAGTCTATTATGTGATGGCTACACCGTTTTTTTTGGGTGGATTCTGCGAAAAGCCTAGTATTTTAGCTGTAGTGAATAACCTGACCTTTGATGCCAATAGTGTAGTATTTTGTTTAGCACTATATGTATCTTAACTGCCTCGTTAAAAGTCTGTAAGCTTAAGCCTTAAGGTATTGTATTGATGAAAAGGTGGCTTTGGAATAGATATGCGTTTCTTGGCTTCTTTTTAATATGTTTATGATATACTATGCAGGAGAAGCTTTCCGTGAGTGATTTCATTGACAACACCGTAAACGAGATGGAACCTGTTAAGCCACTCCCATTGGAAGAGACTCCATTCAAGCTTGTTCAAGAAGTGAAAGATTTGAAAGACTTGGCCGCTAAATTGCGTACTGTTGAAGAGTTTGCGGTAAATTTTCTGATTGTTTATTAGTCCGATGTGCAGTGCATTGTTTGACTATAATGTCTGTTGGTAGAAGTAGTAAGGAATTCGATAATTCTGTCATTATGTAAAGACTTGTTATTTGGTCATTCGGTTGTGCAGAGTCTCTTGTAAATGATATTGAACTACTAATGCGATAGTTATTTCAGCATTTTGGTGTGGAGAATATTAAGTTTCATTACTTAAAATTCTCTCTTTGATTAGATAAGGCCCAGAGCAGCTTAACTTGTGCCTCTACCCTCTCTTAAAGTTGTTTTGTTTGGCTCTGTGAAGGTTGATCTGGAGCATAATTCGTATCGGTCTTTTCAAGGATTGACATGCTTGATGCAAATTTCAACCAGAACAGAGGATTATATAGTTGATACATTCAAGCTCCGTGTTCACATTGGTCCTTACCTAAGGGAGCTTTTCAAAGACCCTAAAAAGAGAAAGGTTTTGCGTGGGAGACATTAATTCCTGAATGAAAGGGCTAAAAGATTTGTTCTGCACTCTGAAATTTGTTAATTTATTCAGGTAATGCATGGAGCAGATCGAGATATTGTTTGGCTTCAACGGGACTTTGGCATATATGTCTGCAATCTCTTTGACACAGGACAGGTTTGATTTTCGTTTCATCAATGACTTCTTATTTTCCTATGATGTTATTTCATATCACACTAAAACGCATGAGATCAATTTGCTATATTGAAGAAGAATGATGGCAACTTATTGGCATTTGAATTGAGTATACTGCTCTATTCCTTTCTTTTCCTCTAGGCCTGGAAATGGAAATCTAGAACTTCTCTCCCTTACAAAGTACACTGAACTAAGTTATTTGGAGGATATGTTTTAGTTAATTATACCATCAAGATAATTAGCAAGAATCTGCACAACGCTGGATTTTTACTTGTCCTTTTAGATGATTCTTTTATCATCTCCTGACTGTTAGTAACTTATGATATAGTTAAAAAGCTTTGGATTTCATATTGTGGGGGCTAAGAAACAAATCCCTGAAAGAATTTTTTAATCTGTAGCGCTTTTCCCCCTAAAAGTAGGAAGGTTTTGGTTTTACATTTTCGTCATTTCAGGCCTCAAAGGTGCTAAAGTTGGAGAGAAATAGTCTGGAGTTTCTTTTGCAGCATTTTTGTGGAGTTACTGCAAATAAAGAGTGCGTAGTTGTCCAATCTGTTTTTTTTTTTCTTTTTCCACCCTCGTCTTCTCACTTGTCCATGAACTTCTATTTTGTTCATTTCTGCAGATACCAAAATGCGGACTGGAGAATACGACCCCTGCCAGAGGAAATGACAAGGTAAATTCTTCTCTGTCCTGTATATTTTCACTAGTGTTCTGGCATCAGTTCATTTGAGCTCACCTTTTTGGATTTCCTTGCAGATATGCAAGAGAAGATACCCACTATCTCTTGTACATATACGATGTAATGAGACTAGAGCTGCAGAGAATTGCAACCGGTGAAGAGCTTACTGACTCTCCTCTGCTTGAGGTAGTCGTCATTTAACTATGCTGACAAGTCCATTATTCGTCTGCATGTCGGTATTTACATGATAGATATACAGTTTTCTTTGGTCTTATCTTTCTGTTAGATTCCCATACTGGCCAAGTAGTAATCAATCTGGCTTTATTGGCTTAAAAAACTTGATGGCATAGCACTATTTGTGGAAAATGAAATGTGGCCACATCCCACATGTGTTGGGTTTATATGAGTGGGTGATGTCGTCTTGTACGCTAGTTGGATTTTCAGTATTCTTAATGTATCGTAGCTGCCTTAACCTAAGTGATTCACTAGGTTTGCAGAATTCGTCTACTTTTAAAAGAGTAACTTTGGGAGGTTAATACAACATAATTGGTGGGTTATGTTGTATAGTGTGCTAATTTGATTTTCAGTGTTGTTATTGAATATTAGCTGCCTCAACTAGGTGATTTTCTAGGTTTGCTACACTCTTATGCTTTTTTAAGAATAACTTTGGGAGGCATTCATCATGTATCTGGCTGAATTGTATTTACTAGGCATAGGTAGAAAACTCCTGCCACATATTTTTGGAATTCATCTAGGGTAGTGGCATCCACATTAGTGTGGAATTAGTGATTTAGCACCTTTGACTCGTTAACATCTTTTCTTGTCTATATATTGTTTCATTCAGTGGATGTATAGCCCAGGAAGAGTATGCTCTTTCTTCTGAATTTTGTTTGACAATTATGACTTTCTGTTTCTTATAGGTTTACAAGCGCAGTTACGATGTGTGCACACAACTATATGAGAAAGAACTTTTGACTGAGAATTCATACCTTCACGTATATGGGTGTGTTGCTTTGCCTTCAAATAATCAATATACTTTTGTTTTGTTTTGTTTCAGCAGACAAAGTGTATGTGTTTGTGGACAAAACATGTTAATCATTTTGTTGTTTCATTAGCTTAGATTACTTCGTGAGTAGACTTTTCTTAAGCTAAGTTACGTAGACACTGATATTGTTTTTATCATCCTGATATTTTGTTTAGGCTTCAGGCAGCGGGCTTCAAGGCAGCTCAACTTGCCATTGTTGCGGTACGAGATTCTTGTCTTATGTATTAATTGATGCATTCTTACTCTGCTTTTTCTTATACTATATAGAGCTCACTTAATATTTTCCGTCTTATAGGGACTTTGTGAATGGCGGGATTATGTTGCACGTGCAGAGGACGAGAGCACTGGTTATGTTTTGCCGAACAAAGTTCTTCTTGAAATAGGTATATAACTGAGAGTTCCATTTGATCATCTAATTGTTTTGGCAATTTCTAACTTGGTCTAACGTTTGCTATCATAATAGCTAAGGAGATGCCTGTTAGTGTTACCAAATTGCGTCGGATTTTGAATTCAAAACATCCTTATATCGAGCGTAATGTTGATTCGGTGGTCAGTATCATCAGGCAATCAATGCAAAATTGTGCAGCATTTGAGTCTGCTGCTCTATCGTTAAAAGATGCGTCTCTTGGAACTGTAAGATATCTCTATTGATCTAGTTTCTGCTCTCTTTCTGTTTATGTAATTATAACTGCAAGCTTTCAGTTGAGGAGTATAAGCAAATCAAAAGCCGGTTAGGGTAGTAATAAATTCATCTGCTTCTGAACCTGCAAAGAAAACCACAGCCTAGAATTGGAAGAATATAATGGCAATGGCTAATTGTGAACCCAAACTTGTAGTTCTGAAACCTCACTTAATATCTCGAACTCAGAACGCATGTACTGCCTAATGGTCTCTACTGTTTTGCTATATTCTCCATGTCTGTTTTAATTATGGACTTATCTTATTGTAGGTAACGGATATGAATACTGGACCTATTATTGAGAGGAAAGACAAGTATCTTCCCACAGAAGGCGTAGCTTCTCGGAGTTTGAAGGAAAATTATTTGCATGTTGAGAAAAATAGCACGGGCCAAATCACAGTTGCAGCAGATACTAGTGGAGGGAGAGGTTTAGGCACAGGCTTGTTTGGTTCAGCTAAGGTGATTCCCTAGTTATTTCTTTTGGTCGATGCTCTCTTATAATCCATGCTGGACTCAGAAAGACCTATCTGTTATTTATTAGGTTCCTGCTACTGTTGTGATCTCTAAGAAACCAAGCAGTGGTTTAGGAGCATTATTGGGAAGTGCAGCCTCGAATAAGAAATTTCGAACTGATAAGAATGTAAGTTTATCTAACTGAGAACTCAGAGTTGATTTTGGTTTGCAGAATGATTGATAAGAAAATGTTTTTCAGGTGAACGAAGAGGTGAAGCTCGAACAGATAAGATCATCTGTAAACCTGCCCTTCCGTTCTTTTACTGACATAAGTTCTGACTCAAAGCCAGCTACTATGCCAACCTCTGTTTCCAAGCAAGATGGTGTGACAGAGATAAATGATGATTCAGAAGAAGCCTCGGAGATGGATGGTGCTTCTACTAGAGTTTCAGAGTCAGAAGTCCCTGGTTTTGAGGAGGCAGAAGATGTGATACTGCTGGACAATGATGGTGCAAAGGACGTTGATGAGGAGGATGGACCAATGTCTCTCTCGGAGCTGTCCACAAACTTTCAAAAGTGCTGTAACTCCATGAATAAGAGCAACAAGAAGTCCCAAAAGCCTGAGTTTTTAAACATAGAGCCATTTGATTATCAAGCTGCAAGGAAAGAGAGGATATTTGGGGAAGAACAAAAGGGAAGACAAGGAGTAAAGAAAGAAGCTGGTTCAGGTAAGAAGAAGGGGTCCGTTACAGAGCCATCAGAGTTTGGACAAGGTAAACGGCGTCAAGCCTTTCCGGCATCGGGGAACCGAAGTGCAACCTTCAAGAGTTAGGCTGCAGAATTCTGCACTCTCATTCGTACTCCAATTGAATGGGATCAAAGCATGATCTGAACCAGGCAGTCAATATTGATGTTTGATTAAGTTATTATTCATTTTTGTTGTGGTCAGTGGTGATTTTTGGTTTTGATCATTTTCATTTTGTCTACTATATATATGGGACCTCAGAGATAGAAACTCTTTGATTGGAAACATCAAAAAGGAATCATAATTCAAGTTATGAACAAGTATCACTCGTCCTCGTGTGGAAATGGAGTAAAGCAATCTCCCTCATGTATAAGAATCTTTTTTCTTTTTCTTTCTGTCTTTGGTTTATAGAATCTTATGTTGGAAAGGTGGGAATTCGCATGTCTTGTTTGCATTGTACCACGTCACATTCACATTCTCCTATCTGTACATAATGAAAACGATATCATAACTTGCTTGACAAATTCAGTTCACCACTAACCATTGCAACTGAGGCATAGAATACTTGTTGTGTTGGTTGACGAACACAATAAGTGTTGCTGACAATTGTATAGCTTCCACCATCAATAACAACGAGATTGTATACCTTTGATTTGATAATACATTTCGTATGAAAGAAATTTTCACACATTATCTGTTCACAACATTTTTCACTGATGGTTTTTTTTTCCTTCGGTTTCTAGCTCACTGTCATTTCTAAAAACTATTGTTCTTCGATTGAGATTTTCATTCGCATAATGACAATTTCATGACAAAAGCAGTACACATTATGATTGTTAAAAGATTTATCGTCACTTCAAATTTGTTTGCTTTTAACAGATTATTTTGTTCAAAATAATAGCCGTTAAAAATCTTTCCACAGTACCTCCTCTCTTTTCAATAAGATTTTGATTTTCTGTTAACATTATGATCTCCAATTATGAAAATAAGTCTACACTTGACAATTTTTGGTGTAACTCTAGTTTATATTAGCTTTGATAAAAAAAACACGCTTTACTTATCATCATAACTTTCATTTTCCCTCATGTATCAATAGGTCAGTTTTTGTTATTCTTGTCACCAACTAACACCACCAATTTACTCGTAATTTCTCCACTTCTAAATTGTTTTGGCAACTAAAAAACTAGTTAAATATATCTCTCTCACTTTAGATAGCATGTTGATGACTTTTTTTCTTTTCTTCTGGAGTGAATGAATCCTTAACTTGATTATTCCATCCCTTTCTTCTAACATGTTGTGATCCCCTAGTATATCAATGAATGATCATCATGGTTGTACCAATCATGCTCTTACGAACAAAATTAGCCAATAACAAATCACAAATTTTCTTCTTTTTTTTCCGTAGACTAATTGAGTAATTAATTTGTTTTAAACTTGAGAAACAGGTGTCTAAGTTGTAGGGAATACTGGACATAATAATAATATAGCTTATATGATCTAAACTGGATCAAACACAATTTCCTACTATGATGTTCATTAAGCACATAACTAAACTTAATAAAATGACTTCTCATATAATTCAACAATGACCATAATATGATCATATATATTAATCTGCCATTTTTATTTTATTAATTAATTAAATAGTAAATGTGTGTAGTATATATGTCATACTGATTGGATCTTAGGTACAAGCGTACAAGTAACAGAAATTGTGAAACTTGGAAGTGTTGTAGCTAAATATATAACAATAGCAAAACCCCATAGGACTGGAGAGATCTAAAAAGAAAAACACATAGCACATGTGATGTGCAAAAATACCGCATTTACTTACATCCGATTTGTGATTCGCTTATAGAAAATATATGAAGATGTATATCAGGCTTTGATCTGGAACCTAGAACACTTGATGGATCCGATGGAAATGTCGATTTCAATCAGATTATCGTCTTCAAACTCGGCTGATAGTTGGATAAGCCTGAAATCTTGATGTCCAGTCATTGTACTGAAGTGGTGGCCAACGTAGTGACCGCTTGGTAAGGAGAGCTCTATGAGGCTTTCCTCATCAGGAATTATCCCTTCATCTTCGTCATTATTTCGGACAATATCATCATCAGTCGTAGATATTTCGATGTGCCCTAGAGAGTCGTATTGATCAAGATCAAGATCTTGTTCTTGAATCTTGGAGTCTACTAGAGGGTTTGGTTTTTGGATTGAGAGAGGGAAGAACAAAGAGGAGAAGAACAAAGCAGTTGAAGTTAGGAGGATTTGTGAGAACCCAAGTCCTACAACGTGAAGAAGTGGTGGGGCAAGAAAAGACAACCATGAAACTGGTCTCTTAAAAAGCAATGAAATAAAACTCCCCCCTTCGTTCATTTTTATGCTCTCAAGATTCATATGAAAGCAATTACTTTGTAGTTCGACCAAAAAAGATAGAAGAAATAAGAGTTCAACCATTATAACTCAGATTGAAACAAAAAAAGGAGAAACAAATGATGTTTGATCCAAATACTTTTCAAAAACAAAAACCCTAGAACAAAAGAATATGGGTTGATGTAAAAATCAAGAAACAAAAAAGAATTATAGCTTAGGAGGGAGAAGGACTCCGTAGAACTTTAATTCGCAAATGTACCTCAAGTAATGAAACGGGAAAGGGTTTATAAATACTAAGAAGAAGATTAAGCTTAACTAGAAAATTTTAACATTAATTAAGTAGGGGTTATTGGTTCTTGTATTTTGGTAGATTTATAAATCTTCTTTGGATTTGATAAATTTATTGATTTCAAAATCAGTAAAATGGAAAAAAATCAAATCCACTCAAATACCAAGGTTAGACCTTGTATTTGGGTCTTTGTATTTTAGTCATGAAAATCCTTCCAAATCCATTCAAATTCAATTAAAACTCAAATCCTTATAATATTTAGATTCTAAAATGATAGAATCAATAACACTGTATTTCATTATAGATTTTAAAATCATAGGACCAATAACACTGTATTTCAATATAAATTTTAAAATACAAGAATCAATAACACTGAATTTAGTTTGGATTCTCAAATCCATTAAAATATAAGAATCAATAACACTTACATCGAGATTTGAAAAGCAACAGCTCGATCCCTAACTAGTCGTCCAAATTGGCGAGAAATGAAAATCCCAAGATAATTTTGTTGGTCAGTCGTTCTATTTTACTAGAATTTGAACTCCCAATGAATAATGAAAAACGTATCAGTATGTATATGATGGTAATATTGCTATTTAGAAATGTAAAATGGCTCTGATAATGGGTGAAAATGTAGTGACAATAGCATACTACATTTTTATGCTAAGTATTTTTGTATTTTTGTGTATGGATAAACCAACATGGATAAATCAATATTTGACGTGGTTATATAGAGATTTTTTTTTGGGTTCAAAATATAAAGATTCAAAAAATAACAAATAACACGTTGATTAGACAAATAAATATATCCATTCGATAAAGTAGATCTCTACAGTACATAGATATGATGTGTTCTGCAACATTTAGATTATATATAGTCACATACAAAATTTCAATAATCTAATCAATTAGATGTTTACAGAGGAAAAAATAAAGACAAAAATGACACTGACACCCCATAACTTAAATGAAAAGGTAAAATCGTCTACAATACTAAATTCACTCTTGTTCACATACGAGTCTAAAAAAAACATAATTGTCGTCATAAACACTTACATTCGATCCATATATACTCTAGTTCCTAACTATATTATTCATTATATCATCAATGGACAAAATATTTTCCTACAAATACTTTTCATGCTAAGTGCCATTTTTTCACCCATATTTGTTGGAGCTGGATTTGGCACTCCAAATCCGGTCTATTCAAGTCTAACGGGCAGGTCCGAATTAAGTCAAAATGACTGGACTTCAACCTTACGGCCCAGATCCATTCACTTTTCAACGATCCAATCCTGAGCAGCAAGACGCTTCGTTCGGCAAGGTCGAGCTCCAGCTCGACCAAATCCCGAGAAACAAGGAAGGATCCGAGCCAAGTCAGAGAATATTCTCGCCAGTTCAAACAAGTCCGAAGATCGCGGAGGAAGTTGCTGCACATGACGAGATTTCTGGCTGAAGTTGCTGCACGTGGCCGAGATACGCGCTGGAGTTCGAAGCTCGATGATGCGAGCTATATAAAGGAGTAGAACGGCTTAGTTCGGGGACCTTCAGCTTGATCTTTTTACACACTTTTTACACCTGAAAACTCTGTAACCGCTCCCAGAGCTCCTTCAGTTCATTCTTTCTATCGAAATCTTTGTAACCGTTTCATTCGACCGATTAATAATCAAATCCTTATTTCAGTTAGTGTTTGCTTACAGTCAATCTGTTCGAGGGAATCTAGCCCTTAATCCTCTAAAGTTTCTTCTCTTACAAAACACATAAATTTCTGAGTGTGGATTTCTGCATCCACATTTTGGCACTGTTTGTGGGGAAGATCTATAGATTTCTCTTACTCAAGAGCATATGCTAAGCCAGCTGAAACCGAAATGGATTCAACTCAATAAACCTCGGGAAACGTCTCACCGATTCCGATCTCTCCAGATCAAGTTACTCCGACCGGCAACGTCAGCTAGACAGCCGGCGGAAATGAACCCAGGATTACGACCCTCGTCGACACCACCGACACGAACTCTAACGTTCCCAGCCGTGTGGAACCGATCGTGATCAACCTCGTCACCCCACCGGGTACGAAGAGTAACCAGTCACAAACAGCTGAGAGGCCTCCCTCTCGAACCTGTGTGCGATCTGAGAATCCACCTATAGCTTCGGCATCACAGAGCCGAGCAGCTCCTATTTCCCTGCCGATACCCGTAGCTTCTAGGAGCCCATCGGAGTCGGCGGAGATACTCCAAATGCTCACGCATCTGATCGATCGACAACGAGATCAGGAGATCAGATTAGAAAGACAGGAAATGCGTCAAGCCGTAGCTCGATCTGCTGCGAGTCCACCTCCACGGACTCAGCTTGACTTTTCGTCGATCCCTACTCCGAGTAATCCGATCGGACCATACATAACACCTCTGCGAGCTCCATGTCCACCAAACTTTGCCCCCTCGATGAACCAGACACCAATCACCACTGATATTCCGGCTCCAGGAATACCAGAGATGGGTCTGTCTTCACCTGTGCCAACACCAGGAATACCCGAAATGGGACCCCATCCCAACACGAGATATCCATCTCCACCTCTAAGACCACCTGGAACCGAGTCACCTCGACAGAGATGACTTGGATCCTCGGCATTCGCCTCGAGCTCGCAAACACCACCCCAGTTCGGCCAACAATCGAACACGACCTCGAGCTCAAGACTTTCAAACGGGATCCGCGAACAACCCATAGGGTTCGTTCACCAACAGCTCGGAACTCATATTTCCGACCCGGGCTAACCA